AAATTATTATTTGGATATTCTGTCTGGTTGCATGTTGTTGTGTTCTTCTGGTAGTTTGTCTGGTTTTGTGATGAATATGGTCTTTAAAACTATTTTGTGTTATGACTCTGTGTATTTGGAGTGAAATATATCAAGTACCTCTATATATCAGTAGATTTTTATTTGTAGTTCTTGCCTGACAATAGAGATATCCAATGTCTCCTTAGAAAATATATATATATATATATATGAACATTATGGAGTGAGTGAAATGTAATGTATATTTTGTTTTCGCAAACTTTTATAAAATACTCCAAATAGCTAATAAATTGTCACCCCCGAGTTGTGATCAAGCGTTAGTGATATCGCTTTCTTTTTTTTACCAAAAAAAAAAATCTTGAGTAGTGTGCCAAATCTATCCTCGCCACACGCACCAATAGTTTTTGAAAGAAAATTATGACGTGGCCAATGTGATAACATGAAGGAATTTTCTTTTCTTTTCATTTTTTTTTTTCTTAGTTTCAATAAATTTAGGTCTTTATTAATTCCAATCTACCGTTTGGCTTAGCTGATTGCATTGGATTCTTCTAATCGTCCCTCCAAAAAAAACCGATATTGTATGGACAAGGCAGACGTGCAGATTCTAACGGTTGAGGCTTTGTGGGTGTCTTTCTTGTGATCATATGCTTGTGACATTGTCTCTTAGTCTCAAAGTAGTATGTACCTCGGTTCGATGCACAGAGGTACTGTTTAAGTCTAAAAAGTAATAGGTTATTATTATTATTTATTTTTCATCTTTTTTTAATCAACGTTAAATCTAAAAAATAATATGGTCATAATATATTTTCCACCTTTTTTAATAGCGTTGTTTTTTAGCCAGAATATTAAATATGAACATGTAAGGCCTAGCTTGTAAAATAATTAATATATTATCTCACTGACACATTATATTTATATAAATTTAATTATTATTCTTGTTCACTATATAATACTTAATTATTATTTTATTATAAACTTTGTTGTTATATAATGTCATTATTATTTATAAAAGTTATAAAAGTTGTACGTCTTTTTTTTTTCTATTTATTCTATGTAATGAAAAATAATTAATGCACGTTAGTATTATATATCTATATAATCAATTTAAAGTATGTAAATAAGTTTAAAATTAAATAGTCTATAAATATTTTACAAAATATACACACGTGTTTTTTTATAATTTAATTTTGTATATTAATTAACAACTTTAATTTAACAAATGCCAAAAACTCAATCCTTCTATAATCAAGATTTTTCAAATTTGCATTATAAGGATTTATAATTTATTTAACATACTTTGCAATGAAAATATATTTTACCATAATTTTATTATAGAAACAAATCAAAATAAAAAATATTAATGAATACACATGATGAATTATGAGACCCCTATATAATAAACAATTAAAAAAAAAAGACACGAAATTTAGTAATGATATCCACAATTTTACTATGAAACTATCGGATGTCTCGACTTATGAAGTATAGTTATCTTTGTCTTATTCATATCAATGTGCTCACTCCTACAACACACGCATCGACATCCTGACCCCAAACTACCAATTGCTTTTTACGAATGCGACGAATTTTTCTTTGTTAATAAGCAAACCTCAATGAGTGGAATTATTATTGTTATGGGCTCCCATGTGACACCTCAATAATTTTAGCATTATAAGCCCGCAAACTTCATTTCACATTATATGCCTAATTGGGCAATTAATAATAATAATAATACATAAAAAATGACTGTTTCTTTTACATAAAGAGCATATCACCAATAAGTACTTTGTGCAATGTTTTATTAGCTTGATTTTGAATTTTGTTGGTCCACATAAATTAATTGCACGTCAACTCAAATATTGTGTGCCTCAATAGTACCAAAAAATTGAAACCATGAACTGAGAGCATTATAAATTTGTTATAAAACTTTTTTATATACAGGTTGGGGTCCGACCTAATCTCATATGTTGTTTTTGCTAAAAAAAAGAAAAAAAAAAAACATTTACATCACAAGGAATAAGAAAAGAAAAATTCTAGGAGGCCCTATTTTCTTGGCTTTATAATTAACCCACTTATTACAAGTCCATTTCCTTCTAGAGAATCTTGTAAATGTGATACTTATCTAGTTTACTTACCCACATGATGATGTGCCACTTTTAAATTTTATATAATTGCCTAATTAATATATGTTGGGTAGACATTATTAAGAGCATGCACCATTTTAATCCTTGAACTACCCTACTTTTAACTAAATTAGTACGTACCCGTGCGATGCACGGGACAAAGATATTAAATGAGTTATTTTCACAGCCTTGTCCGTTTAAGTCTAAAAAGTAATAATGTTATTATCTATTTTCTACCTCTTTTAATCAACGTTAAGTCTAAAAAATTATTAAGCCGCCATCTAACAAATATGTATGGAGTTATGTGAATGTGTCTCATAAGTCACAAATATAAATGTTATTTATTCAAACTTTTATTCATTGCAAATTTATTAAAATAGTTTATATAACAGCCATTAAATACCACCTTCAATATATTTATACATAAAAAGTACATAAAATTACTGGTGTGTTCAAATTTAAATAATTTTTTATAGGCTCAATTTTAAATCATCCAGACATTTGGTTAAACACATAGGTGTGTTCAAATTTAAATCATAGGCATTTTGGTCGGTTGAATTTAAATCATCTACCATGGTATTGTGATGTGTATTATATATATATATATACAATTTTTTAACAAATATTATGTGCTTTATAAAAATAATAATAATAACAATTTTACAAGATTTTAAACTTAAAAATTTGATTTTTAATCACAATTGAAAAATCATGGTAAGTTGTATTGAAAATGAGTTATGAGATAAAACAATTAATTAAAATAATTAAATAAAATAATTAAATAAAATACTAAATGGAAATAGAATGCATTAATTATCTTTGATTTTTTTTACTATAACTAGTTTGTAACCCGTGCATTTGCACGGAAAGCATTATAATAGAACAAAAAATAATAAAAAGATATAAACAATCGTAAAAATCATAATATAATTATTGTAAAAATGTTTTTAAAAAAGAATAACTAAATATTGTTAAATCATTTTTTATATGCAACGTTTGTGATTTGTCTATCAATAGAATCTCCATCACTACAAATCACTATCTTCAAATTAAGACATATAATGGTTTTATTTTTTTAAAATAATTATTGTATTTGGTACTATAGATCATATAGGAAATTTTAAAAAAACAAATACTATAAAAATACCAGCAAAATATTACAAAATAATTAATTGTATTTAGTTGATAAATAATGATATGTGCCAAATATTTAAGACATTTGAACAAAATGACAATTTTTGTGGATTGAATGATAAAAAAAGCCCAAATTAGAAGTCCACTTAATTTTTTAGGGTATCCAAAATCAAATATAAAACATGTCAATGAAAACATGACTATAAATTAAAATAATCTCCTTGAGTGATGTAAGCTAATTCTGTTGTTTGTTGTCGGCGCTTCTTTCGTTATTCACTATGTCTGAAACCCTAATCCTTAACCCGATCTTACGACAAACTCGGGGAGATTCAATACAAAAAAAAATGTTTTACAAATCGGGCGATAATATTACAAATCTATGAAGAGCTGATATATTTTTTGTTAAATATAGGTTTTATTTTTTATTATTTTCAATGATCAGTGTCGTTTTTTGAAATTCTTTTTGAATAAGCTTCAAATATATATCATATTTTATACATAATTCGATATTATCTTAATTTTCATTTTCAAACTTTTATGTATTTTGTTCAGAGTTTGAAAAATAGGTAAGTTTCTAACAAATCTGTCCAGCTCTACTAACAAATATATAGGTAAGTTTATAACATATATGTTCATATATGTTTATAACATAAATATGTAACTTTTATGTATTTTGTTCGGATTTTGAACAGTAAATAGTTCAATTCTTTCTCGTCTTTCTCATCATAACAGTAAGTGAAGTTTTGCTAGCACTTGTTCAAAATCGCTTTTCGAAGTTGTTCAAAGTCTTTTGCCGAAGTTTTTTTTATAGTTTTTAGTATTTTGTTCAAAATTTGAAAATATTAGGTAAGTTTATAACAAATCTGTTTACATATATTTCTCGCATATTAGGAATTTCTTGTTTAATGTTTAAAAAAATCTGTAGGAATTTTTATTTTTAAAACTTTTACGCAAAAAATCGATTTTAATATAAAGGCAAATGTCTTGGTAGAAGTTGAATGTGTTGATAATAATAGGGAGATCAAATTATTTTTCTTTTTATATTGTATAGTGTCCAATAATGTTCCACATTATTTGTTGTGTTTTTAATTTTGATTTTTTTCATATAGATTTTACTTTTTTTTTGTTGATTATTAATTATGCTTGATATTTCTATATTATACAACAATCTGCCATTACATATAATGCCTTGTCAATCCTCATTCTTTGACTTTGCCAATTTCCGTTTAATATGATTTTTCTGTTGCTGAAATTATGGTTTTAATGCCTTAAAATATTGATGTTTTGGATATGTTTCGATGCTATAATCATGCATAAATTTGTACCGCCACTTTTTTTTTAAAAGAGGAATTGGTTAATGAAAATTAATCATATTTATATTTATAATTGTGAAATAATATTTTTTTTTTCACGACCAACAGTTTTTTTTTAATAAAAAATATGGGACAATTTCTTCAACACACTTTTTAATTTATAAAACAAAATGTTGATTGCGATAATCAAATCTGCAGAAATCATGCATTTTATTGAATAGTAGTAATATAAAATATTTTATTATTACTACCAAATGGTAAGTCAAATATAGTCAATTTTGCAATATTAATTATGATCATATGACTTTTTTTTATACATATGTTTTTCAATGAACTTTTAAATGATAATATTGACAATATAGACTTTGCTATAATAAATATATAGATTGTTAATTTATTTATTTACTTCATAACTTTTTTTTTTTTTTAATTCATCTTATTATGCGTATAGTCTATCTTTATAAATTATACGTCATTTAAATGTATATATACTACTACTTTATAAGATTTTACCAATTGGGGAAGCTAAATTTTATTTTAATTATGAAACTAATCTTTCTTATCATTTTGCAGCTATATGTTTGATGGAGTATAGCTTGAAATTAAATTATAAAAAAAAAATAATTTTATTTTTATTGTAATTTAACATGATTTGTATTATAATGTTTGTATTTATTACATTTATTAATATTTTTCATAACTTTAATTACTTATTCAATTTATAACTAAAAGAAACCTTCTTAAATGTGGGAATAATGAGTAATTAATTAAAAAAATTGTAACTCCTTTTGGAGGGAAAGTGAAATGTTTTTATTAAATATTTTATTAAATAGGATTAGCTAGTAATTATATATATATAGATTCTAATAAATAGAATATATTTTTATATAAGTATAGATTAAAAACTCGTGCATAATTTCATGCACTTAATTTAATGTATATACATTTGGGTAATAATATATAAGTCCTTGTTTTATAGCGTTAATACATACAAAGTGAACCAGTAAGTTATACAAATATAAATTATTCAACACTAACAATGTTTTGAAACATGTGATCAAAAAAACACACAATTTTTTCTCACTTGGAAAAATATGTATGTATAATTCTCATGGTCCTTTTCCCGCAATTTCCTTCCCCTTTCCCACATAGCCACGCATTCAAACAAATACTACTAAAATAAAATAAAAGAAGAAACATAAGTGAGAAATGCTTTACCTTTTAATTAAATAAATATTAAAGCAATAAATAAAACCCAGATATGATTCTCACGCCCCCAAATACTTTTTATTAAAATATTTTAACGTCTACCAATTTTTTTTTAATTTTATTTTTCTAGAATTTTGTCCGCAAACCAACTCCCCCAACCAATAACAACCCCACTAGAATTGTTATTATTTTTTTATATATATAAATCCTTCGTTTAATTATATATATATATGCAATTTGATTCCCTGTGGCTGTGGACCTGTTCTCTCGCCATTTTCTTCTTCTCTTATTTAATTACTTGTAACTTCTTCAAAAAAAAGAAAAAAAAAAAGAAAATTGAAATAAAATTACGTTCTTCTTCATCATCATCTTCTTCTTCTTCTTCTATGCTGACTTCCCAAGGTTTGGTTTTGGCCACGGCCATGGCCGTCTCCGCCGGCACCATTTTCCTGTTTGATCATTTGCGGGAAAAATATTTCCCCCATGCCCCCCATCTCTCCCAAAATCACAATTTCCCCCCTCAAGCCCTCAAGCCCTGTTTATCCCCAGGTAACCAAAAAAATGGGCAATATAGTTAAATTACAAGAAAAATCATTATTTATATTCTTTATTTGAGAGAGAGAGAGAGAGAGAGAGAGAGAGAGAGAGAGAGAGATTTGATTTTTTTTAATTAATTTCCTTTTGATGTTTTTTTTTTTTTGTTTAAGGTTGCCGGAAAAGGGGTAAAGAGCAGAGAAAAAACGGCCAGACAAAGAGGGTTCGATTTGCAAACGATGTCAAGGATTCGAAGGGCAACGGCGAATTGTACAGAAAAGCAGGCAGAAAATTTGTTGGTAAAAATTCTTGCTGTGAAGAAGTTCTTGGAATTCCGAAAATGCCCCCAAATCGTGCGGTTCTGTACAGTGGGATCCTCAGAGATCGTGTGCAGAGGATGGAGTATTCCTACTGATTCTTTGTTATGCCCGACGGTTTTTTACTTTTTTTTTTTTGGGGAGAAATTGTAAATCAAAAGATTGGTGGGGTGGGAAAGAGACTTGTTTGATTTTCCTGTCCTTACGTTGTAAATATAACAAATTGCTTTTAGCTGCTGCTGATGAATCTTTGGATTTATGTCGTTTTTTTGGTTGTATGAATCTGAGGTTCGGAGAAGATAGAGAGATTTTAAGAGAAATTGTGGCCTCAATTTTGAGCTTTGAGGTCCACCGATGAATCGAAGTATTGCAGAAAGCTCCTCGAGTTTCAACAAATTAGCGAAATTGGCCGTATGCCCCTTAATCAAGATTTCCGTGCTTTATAAAAAAAAATTGTATTAAAACGATTTATCCGAAAAGAAATATTAACACTAAACTAATTTTGATTCATTCAGTTTTTATATTGTAGATATTGGGTTTAGGGTACAATTTAGAATTGAATATAAATTAACATTTACGCGGGTGTTTTGTTATGAAATTTGATAGAATTTGTAATTTTATGTAGTTATTGGTATTCTTAAAATGGAATTTTACGGATTCGCTATTACTCCATGAGTAGACGTGGCTGCGGGCCGGACCGGCCCGGAGCAATGCGGTTCAACAAACCGGTACCTTGCCCTCGCAGTTCGGTTCTGGTTCTTTAATTGTTCTTTTGGTCTCGTCGGGCCTGGCCGGGGCGGGCCGGGTCACGGGCGGTCTTTGTATTTTCTTTTTTTTTTTTTTTAAAGGGCTGAGTGACTCGATGGTTCAGGGCCGATTCACATAAAAAAATAGGTCGGTTACAGATCATCAGATTGAGGCACGTCGACCTAGCAGGCCGGGTCACGGCCCGTCATTTGGCCTAGTCTATCCATGAGGACCATAACTCTCAATATAATTCAAAATATAAAATTCCGAATTATAACAAATTCAAGATCAGTAATATAGAATTATGTAAAAATTCATACTCCAAATTATTAAACTAACAACTTGAAAAAGTCTTTCTAATTATATGGCGTACCATAAATTTTCGGGGCGAGAAAGCTGAAATTGCGTGATATTGTAATTACGGATGTCGTGTTTGGACCCAAAACCTGGCCATATTTTCGGGGGCAAAAAGGGAATTGTATCAAGTCTATGAGTCTTTATTACAATATTGGTCATACATGTGCTGTTGACCTGTTGTTTTCACCATTTGGACATTTCACGCTTATCTCCTAAATTAAATTACTTTAAGACAATTTATTAGATTTAGCTAATAATTGCTGACCATAATTTTTTTTATTCATACACGAAGTTTATAATTAATATCAAAATAAATTAATATGAGCGTTCATTATCACTTAAGAAAATAAAAAGTCAAAAATAATAATTACTGTGGTTTATGTTCCTTCATTTCATCTAAAATAAAATAAGTTAAAATATAGATATTATAATTAAAATCGTAAGCTATATGATGAGCATATCACATTATAAATTTAAGTTTTATTAACAATGATAAATATTAAATCTATTAATATATAATAAAGATTAACATAATTCACTTTTAGAAAATCTTTCCCGAAAAACATTAATTACACACTAAATATGATAATTTTAGAATCTATTTTAAATAAAAAAATATTAATTACATTATTATAGTTTCCTATTAAAATAGAATCCGGATTATATTTAAATATCCGTTAAATATATTTTGTTATAGCATATTTGTTAGTGGATTTAATGGTGCATGTAATATTCTATTAGCATATTTATAGCGATTTATTTTATACATACCAATTTATTTACACTTAAATTATTTTAATTTATCATGATCTACTTTTTATGGTAAATGTTGGGTATTTTATCTTCATAGCAACATATTATAAAAAATCAGTGATATTGTCAAATCATTTTTATTTAGATTTTTGGATCCTTTGTTGTTGTATACGTTTTCAATTAATTTAAAATTAAACCTTTTCATAAAATCTCGTTTTTTATGAAAATGATTTTCTCGACTAATATTTTCCATCTCTACCAGATTTTATAAAATTACTTATTAAAAATAAAATTCGTTTTATCAAATCATTTTATAAAATCACGGTTTGTATGAAAATAATTTTGTTGAGTGTAATTTTTTCTATCTATTAGATTTTATAAATTATTGATTAAAATTGAAATCACATTTTACAAATGGGCAATATATATTTTTTTATTTTTATTTACAAACAAACTTTAAATCATCAATGGTAGTAGACATGTTATATTCACAATTTGAAATTTTATAATTTTTTTTTTATAAATATGAATAAGATATAAAAGTGCAATATAAACAACTACAACATTCTCAGTCTTTCCAATAAAAAAACGTAATAAACAACGGGTGAAAAAAATACACAATCCTCCCTATATATAATTGCAGAATGCGCTGAGCTTACGTGGCTGCTTCTGGTGCTTCGGAATCCTATTTGGCGAAGAATCATGCTTCGTAATTAGGTTTGGATAAATAATATTGATATATTAATAATTAATAATCTAGGTTCGGGTATTCCATAAATATTAATTAGCTAATTTAGGTATTTTATTATCACTTTTACTAATATAACCATTTAATTCTTTGTAATTTTACATAGTGAGGCACTAAGTGACTAATATATCCCTGAATTTTGATTTGTTTCCTTCAATAAGCTATTGAATTATAAATGTATTTTAAAAGTTGATAATTTTTGTATTTCTTATCGGTTTTACATATATAATATATCAAATTAATCATCTTTTGATGATCTTCGATTTGACATCCATATTGTATATATATGAAATAAATAAATTATATTAATCTTTATAATAATAAAAAATAATAATATTTATTGAAATTTATTAGAAAAATAAAATTATTTTTCAATTGATATATTTATATGTAATGTAGTTATATATTGTAAGTTAAAAAAAATTAGTATAATATGACACAAGTAAATTGCACAAATAAAAAGTATCATAATAAATATATAGTAATATATATATTCTTATAAAAGGTATTCAAATTTTGAAACTACTTTTTCTCATTAATTTTAGATTTTGAGAAAAAAATTAGCAAGCACCCGTGTAATACACGGGTGTTGTACTAGTTTTGATGATACACAATTAGCATTCACGTAAAAAAAGCCAGTTCAATTTGGTATGCATGCTAATAAAATATCACATCTCCTATATAAGCAATATTTGTGGTAAATATAAAATTTCGCCATAACAATTGTGTATGAAATTTTAATGGGCCTGCTATGCCAGTAAACCGAATAACTAATTGAAAAATAGCTTATTAAGATAAAGATAACCAAATTAATATTATTTTAAGAAAAAATAGATTTAAGTAAAAGTCTTTCTGCTATAGATTTTCTTATAAGTGTTTTTACTTTCATAAATCTTTTTAGTGTCAATTTTAATTATTTAATAATAATAGTAACGTTTATATAACAGAGCATAGCACAAAGCATCTTATTACATTTAATTTAATATAAAATTGATGTAGAGAAGCGTACGAGTGAGACGATAAATTGAGAACAGTCTCAAAATACCAAGAACAATATCAATTTTTATTCATTAATTAACCATCCATCAAAGTCACGGGTTGAACAATATATAATAATCCTAATCTTAGTCTCCTAGCCCAACAAGCTAGATAATTATTTACTTGTCCACTAAACAAGTAATTATTCTCTTACCAATTAACTACTAATCATAAAAGGAATAATAATAATAATAATAATAATAATCATTCTCTATCAAAAATTCAATAACGCCCCTTTTAAAATTACCCAAGAGTCTCGTGTTCGAGTCCTGGGAATGCAGCAGTATTAAAACTCTTGAGGGAGAGCTTTGCCGCCCTTGTGGTCCTACCCGGCTCGATTCCAGATTAGTCGGTTCCCTTGTGGATCCGGAAACCGGAAGGTCCCTGTACCAAAAAAAAAAAAATAATTAAACCAAAAAAAAAAAAAAAAAGATTCGCCATTGTTCTTCCTTAACAGAGAAATCCCGATACGGCCTTCTCTCTCAGGTGAGATTTTGTTTTATTAACCTAAAAACACATGTGGATACGTTTGATTTCTTGCTTAATTTGTTTCCTCGAGATGAATATGTTTAAGGTTAGGATGTCCGTCAAATTTCAGGGGTTTTTGGTAAAACATAGGCAGCCCAAACCTTCCTGTTGCCATCGATGTTTATGCTCGGAGCTTTTGTACGGTTCGGCTCGATTGCTACTTGGGTTTTTCATGTTATTGCTCGCATGGGGTATGCATTTCCAAATTCATCAAAATTTCTGAATTTTTCATTGACTTTCTGTATCTTCTTGTGTTTTGGGGGGAAAAGTCGACAATTTTTTGGTTTGATTGGGAGTTATATTGAGTGAAAAATTGGAACTTGGCTATAAATCTGTATCTTCTTGTGTTTTTGGGGGAAAAGTCGACAAATTTTTTGGTTTGATTGTTTCGTGTTGTTTAGAGTTATATTGAGTGAAAAATTGGAACTTGGCTATAAATCTGTGTCTTTCAAGTATATGCTCAGCTCGTCGGGATCGCATTGCAAAAGTAAAGGCCAGAAAGAGATGTATTTGTAGACAAGAAAATATGCTGTCTCATACCATTTATTGAGTGTACACTCTTCAGAGGCCGACTGTTCTATTTTTGTTACTTTAAACAGTTAATTTGATAATTACTGGTTCATAAGGGAAAGACACGAAACTTACAAATTTATAGGTTTGTTGAAGTTAATCTATCAATGAGCTTGAACGAGTAATATTAGCATCAAATCTTCTCGTCTGGGTTGCCTGTTGCATACTGGTGGTTCAATCGTGTTTTTACTAATATCTGAGCTAGTTTTCTCTGTGTACAAGTTTTATGAAAAGGAAGAAATGAAATAGTTTGAGAAAAGTTAAGTGCTTACACTAATAATAAGGCTATGAGTTGCGAGATGCCTAGTCCTGACCTTAGATTTACGGGATTCAGGTGATAGTTGTACTTGCAGTTGCAGGCCATGAACTGATGGCTTTCTTATCGTTCGGTTCCTAAACGGATAAAGCTATGTAAATTTATCTAGTGTTCATTCTTATTAATTCTAATTTGTTCTCCCGTTTTGTGTGTCTGAGAATAATGTTTCTTGTAAGCTGTGAATTGCTTGAACAGTCACTTGTGAAATACCTCTGCACTGTAGTTCATTTACATATTTACAGATGCTACGATTTATTTACAAGAATCGGGGAAATGGCATTAATTGATTTAAGAGGTATTTCATTGTTGATGCAATTGTTGGTTTGTTTAGCATACAAGCTGACTTAATTAAAGTCCTCGCTTTCAGTTCAACAATGTATCTGGATGTTATCTTTCTTTATTTTCCGGTCATTTGTTCAATTGTCGCTCAAGAATATATATGTAAGTCATAACATTTGATTTGACCTGTTGTCATTGATCAAATTTTGCTAAATATGAGGAAAAGAAGGAAATTTTCTGAATAGTATCATGCGAATAAAAATGCATCCAGTGCTTTTTCTCCTGTTATCTTACTTGAAAATCTCCATTTCATCTATTTCATTTTGTTGTGGTGATTGTCTTAATTGCTTCTATCTTTTCATTCGGAACAGCACAATTGCTGTCTTGGGTTTGGTAATAAGCACAAACTGATTTTCGAATCATCCAATAAGCTGTTGAGAGAGAGCATAACAAGAACTCCTACTCAGATCCAATAAAACTACAAATATAAGGATCTTTTAGCCATCACTTCTTGGAGATGAGCTACAACAAAGTTCCTTTGTGCGAAAGCATTTCACCAAACAATCTACCGAAGCTTACGCACGAAGCTCATGGTTCATGCAACTCAATTAAACCACCTAAATTCGTAAATCATGGTAAATTGGATTTCTTGTTTTTGATGTTGATATCGTATTCTCGCATATCGGACTGTGATGAGTGGAATTTTTATGAAAGGGTTTTGGGTGTAGGTCTTCTTCTTTGGAACCAGGAAAGACATAAATGGAGAGGGAGCAAAAAGGCTGTTGCTCTGTCTAAAAAGCGGCATATGCCCAAATTAAGGTAAGCTGAATTTCAGCTTCTCGGGTTATGCAATCAGATAACAGGTTAAACCATGTGAGTTCGAAAAATGGTTCGGAATTTGTAATTAAATTCTTTATCTGAATATTTATCATTGACCATTTGCATCAAGGGTGACTTATAGTGATTATATTATGGTATCAAAAAACTTGATGTTCTAAAGGTGGCAGAAGAAACAAGACACATGCGATTTCACTTAGCGACAGATATTATTAGCTATTCCCTTGTGGTTGTGAGGAGCTGTCCAAGTGAGAGTGATGAAATTTGTTTGCACTTTTTTGTTTTTGTTTTTTTCCTTGTTAAATTGAGCCGACAACTAGTGGAAAGCCACCTTAATTTTTTTTATTTTTTATATTTTTCTTTTTATTTTTCCAGAAATTTTTGTGCGTGTATATCTAAGAGGTTTTGTTGCGGAGGGAGTGCAGCTTACGATAAGTTGCAAAGAAAGAACAAGCCATTTTCCAGACCTATTCCTCTCAGTGTATGTTCTTACCATTTTCATTTTCTTTGGTTCGATTATTGGTTTTGTGGTGGCTATGATATCCGATTTATCAGGCGAATGTAATATCAGGAGATGGTCGGTTTTGTGGTCGATATTTGGGAGCAGGAAGGATTGTATGACTGAGAAAACAGCATAAAGAAAATGAGGGTGTGTTACTGAATGGTCTTGGTTTTGATTGGATTTAGTGGGTCCCACACTGCCATGTTGTAAATGGGGATTTGTTTTTAAAAAAACAAAATAAAACAAACAGATACCGTTGTTAGGTT